AATAGGTTAGTGCGTTTAGGATAAACAGTCTCATTTTATTCAATATTGTTGAATAAGAACTCAACTTTTGAAATATATTATCAATCAATGTGTTTCTACACTCCATTCGGTTTTCCTTCCACAAATATTGCAATCAGGGATAGGTTAGTTCGTTAAGGATAGATAGTTTCTGTGTCTTGCCTAAGTACTTCGAAGATGAGATATTACGGTCGGCGTGGTTTGTGCTAGCGTACAGTATATTTAGTAAAATCGCAGCCAGGAAAGTAGTTGTTTTCTGTTGAATATACTGAGGAAGAATTGATAATTTCATCACATACCGAATGCGAATTCTCTATGTATTTCTTTATATCTGAATAAACAGGTGCGGAAAAGTATGACTTTCGGCATTTGTTAGGTAAACTACATTTTCGTCTAAACTCGACAATGCGAAGATCAATTATTGTTTTATTGATTGTTTTATCTCAGATTCACAGAGGCTGTTCAAAAAACTGCTTAGGAACTAGTGATGGGTTCAGTTTTGACGAGTGGATATGGTCAATATCATGGAAAATTAGTCTTCAAGTTCTGAATGGTTGGAGATGACATTTCGAGAATTACACAGATTAATATTAGCTTTGAGTATTCACACTCAGTTTTCATTCGTAGGTTACCCGATTTCATCTTCGAATTTTGTCCGCCCCATATCCTATTTTCATCTGGTGGCGCCTATGGTCCAAGGTCACCTGATATATTAAAGAAAATTATGTTGGAGTAGTTGCTGTTTCCAAAAATGTTGTATCTTTGATGATTACGGAGTTCACATAGTCGATATATAAACATCAAACTAATTCACCTAGTTGGTGATGCCACACTCACTTACTCCTTGACATCATTGGAACAACGGCGACCTCTCACTTGTTCATGAAAACTTCTACGGAAAATCTTCTTCAAACGTTCGGTTATCATTCTATCACTAGCAATACCATGCAGACAGACGAACTCGACAAAAAGCTTAGTACAGCACATCTATTTGTAGTCTACCTCGATATTTGTCGAACAACTCTATCAAAACTTCTTTGAAGTATTCTCAAAAAATTCAAAAAGTTTTAATAAATTGGGATATTGCCTTTCGTGAGACCAACAAAAATTTGCACTTTCTGCCCCAAATCATTCCCTCTTTCAGTCTGAACGGTACACATAATATGGTATACCAGATGCTGCAAAAATTCTGAGTCACTTTATTCGTTTCAAGCAAGCAGAAAATACACCAATCCGATATTATAAGGTTATGTTCTCGATAATTATTAATGGGACTGTGTATATTTCGTGAAATTTTGATGTTTCTTTGAAAAATATTTGTGATTGTTCTGTCATATAAACTTTGCGAAAACGTGTGGTCTATAAGGTATGTAATAGTTGATCACATATGAATAATTTCAATATAGTACACATATGTACCACTCGGTTTTTATTGTGTTATAGATAGGTACCGACAGTTTTGTAATTTTCGTTCTTTTAGAACAAAAAAATTGAGTAGACGTCCGTTGACCGAGAAAGAGTTAGAAGTTTTTAACCCCAAGAACATTTTTTTATTCAAGTAAATGGTATTCAGAACCGGAATAAATGTATGATCGACCACACAATGTGTTTCACTGATATAGCGAATCACTTCTTCGTATACCTAACAACCAGTATCTGAGGTCTGAGGATTTGGACCTCTTAGGCAACCCGTAATTCTTTGAATGGTACGCGGGGTGGAACGTTTCCAGGGGAAACGCATCCACACATTCACAATCTGAAGACAAGCAAAACGGCAGATCTCTTGCGAAAAGTCTTCTATTTATCGAGTAACCCAATCATAGAGTACAACTTGATGGAACCTTGAAATTATATTATATGCATCGTTCTTACATGTGTTTTGAAGATTTATGATACTCTCCATTGGTCGAGAGAAAAAATATTGGGATGAATGTCAAAAAAATTTAATTTCTTGTTTTCTCTAATTAGGTTGATATATTACAACTATGATAGGAGATAGGGAAATGAGTTTTTTTTCCATATTATAGAGAAAACATTCGACTACATTTTGATATAGGTATATTTATTTTTTGAAATTTGGGAATATGTTAAAAATTTAAAAGAATAAGAGGATAACACTTTTTCATCACATTTCAGTTCGCTTCAACACCCAATAAATTGCTTATTCGACCAATGAACGATACTTTTTTTTCACATCAAAAACTGCGGAAATTCATAACGATCATTTCGTATCGATTATATGAAGATCTATCTTGAACAGATTTCTCGATATAAGCGTTTTACTGTACACCTGTAACTACCGCCCGCTACCCGGTATGCGAGACGATGTTTCCAGGAAATACCACCGACTATAAGTTATACCCCATGATTGGGTTATTGAACGATAGACCGCACAGTCTGCCGTACTTAAACAGGGCACAATAATTAAACATCAGGGACATTTTTTGTCATCATCATCCACATATATAATGAGAAATTACGACATCGCCCCATGGTCGAGAGGACAGGTTCACCAAAATACGCGCTGTTAGTTTCTGGAAAACTGTCAGTCGTTTCAAAATGTCAAACTTCACTGATGATCGAATTGGCTATAAGGAGTCAGGAAAGAATAGTGAAATAAATCCAGAGTTTATGTTCAGAAGAATTACAAGTGCAGCTCAGTTCCAAGATTCAGATTTCACTAATATTTTACCCTACGAACTCACACCAGTCGCACTCTCTCTTTTTCATGAAGATAGGACTATGAGAAAAACATCTTGCCAAAAAGTTATATCTACATTGTAACATATTGGCGGATACTTGTTCAACGACTAGTTTCTATTTCATAGATGGAAGGGTCATTCTGAATGAAGTGAATGAGAAATCTTTCAAGACTCTCAACGATTTAGCAGAGAAGATACTTCAAAGAATGCTTTTCATTTTCAAAAAATATTCTCGCTGTGATTCAGTTTTTCTGGTATTCGATAGATATGATATCAAGGATTCCATAAAAGACATGGAGAGACGTGGACATCATAATCTAGGAATATTCAGTATTACAGGAAGTCGACCAGTGCCAAACTACAGGAATTTTCTGAAATCAACACCAAATAAAATGGCACTCATAAAATTTTTGAGCCAGTATTTGATGGATTTCTTCAAGAGGCTACCAGGAGGAAAGTTTCTTTTCATTGCTGGAGGATCGAAAGATGCCGAATCATGTTTTAAGGTTGGTCACGCGAACTAGATGGGTGTATGTACCTATATTTTCATAATTGAATTTTCTAGCATGATTTTACCTCTGGATGCCATCATTCTCACATATGAAGTTATTAAACTAGAGGGTTTTTGTTCTTTAACTTCACAACTGATTATTTGGCGCGAATTGGTAACAACACTTGAAAGTGACTACGTAGTATCAACAATGCGGAGGTTATAGTGCATTGCTCGTACTTATTTTTGTGTGATGACAGCGTCAACTATATACGCGGGAACTAGAATCGGGAGTTGCAGATACAGAGGGGTCTAAGTGACTTCCACAGGAATTTTTGCTATATGGAAGGTAACCCCCCGTACATTCAGTATCTGAAATCAGCAATGAGAAACGTTGTGACTTCCGTTTTCGGAAGTCACAACCCCAAAATTTGAAGACCAAACATCCAGGAAGAAATTGCCAACCTCACGCCTGCTATTCTGGCATTAGGATAGTCACTACAAATGCAAGAAATCGGTTCACTCCTTGTATGGAAAAAATGGGGGACGTCACCTATCTGATTATTTGATCTTCAAAAATATGTAAAACAAAACTCTAGGTATGCGCCTACATTATGGAAAAAATTGTTGTTTTTTAATTTCTACCTGAAATAACTATTTCTTTTCAGCTACGTTACTAGAAAGAAACTGAGAAGTACGACGTACGACTCATCAAAGCATTATATATAGTCATAAAATGTATTTGTGATACTCTGCTATCCAAAGTGAGGGAACAGTTTGATTCAGCTCATATGAAGTTTATGCGCTTTTTAGAGATTGATTATTAAAAAATTTTTGAATTTGCGTAACAAATATGATGAAAGAAGAAACTAACACAACCCGTCGTAGAGCTGTATAACACATCACTGAATAAAACGTGTAGAATGACTTCCTGATCAGGTGATGAATATTCAATGGAGATGAACTGTATTTAAAGTAGAAATCCTATACAGTGCCGGTTTTAGCACTACCAGCGCCCTGGGCAAGAATTCTACGGCGCCCCCTAAAAACTAATATATTTCACTTTTCTAGCCTTTGTATTGGCAAACTCTTTCATTAGATCAACAAAGTCAATATTTTCAGCAATTTTATTCTCAATTGACAAAGTTGTCAAGTTTGTCAATCTAGATTGATATATTGTCGATCGCAGATAGGTTTTTATCACATTAGGCTCAGGAAAACTGAAAACTAGCAACCATTACAGGTATATAAAGTCAATAATATTCGCAATGCTAATCATACATTTTGATAAAGTTCTTTTTAGTTGCGATCTTTTATAAAATTCAAAACATATGCAGGGGTAACCAAATTCAAAAGTACCAAGATTTGTAGTACTCATTTAACTTCAAATATTTCATTAACTGAAATGAATGATGACATTAAGATATGGTGTAATTACTGATGCGCTTTTGTTTCAGAAATTTGACTCGGCCTCTCGAGAACGGCGAAAGCATTGCGGTTCCGTCGATCTTCTAATAGATGGCGATATTGCACAATTGTGAAATCTGTCAGTTTTGAAATTGTCGCAGATTTTTCGAATTCAGAGTTGTATAATCCCATTTGCTATTTTATTTCCACTCGTCACAGCAGCAATAGCACCATCACCATCTAGCAGGAAAATGTCGAATCAACGTCTCGCTCGTTGTGACGTAGAGAAATCATGGTAGGCGGTCGAGTGATTTTTCTGAAATCTTCAATGGCCGAATACGCGCACCATATCTTACTTTCATCATTCTGAAATGATTGAAAAATTAAACCTGATTTTTTTCTGTAGGAGCTATTGGCACGTGGCGGGCAGTTTCACCAGCTTGACGCTCAACATATTGAATTATCCATGTGGCACTAAGATTAGGTCCAAGCTTAGGTTCAATTTCTAGTTCTTCAGCCAATTCCTCTGCAGTTAAAATAGCGATTTCAGAGTTAGTATTTCTATATTCTGACGAGAAAGTGCAGCATTCTTTCAACATTTCTGTGCATTTACTGAGATCTATATCTGTTGATTGTGAGATGCGCTAATGACGTCGATTTGAAAAATTTGAGGAATTTATAGAGGTTTTTGCGGCGCCCCTTTTCATCCGGCGCCCTGGGCGGTCGCCCAACCGCGCCCTACCCTAACGCCGCTACTGATCCTATACGTCGTTCGTCATATTCAATCGTTCTCGATGAGTTTTTGTGAAAACACTTCAACTCCTTGTATCCCAAGAACTGAACACTTCACAATCCATGTCCATACCTTAGTCATATAAAATATAAATATAAAAATCTATATCACTATCAGAGTTCATGCCTCCAAAATCATACCCGAAAAGAAAATTAGTGCGCCACTAGTTTCTGAGTGAAATTTTCTATGAGATAAAGTTTCAATTTGGCATTAGCGCATTTATCGCTGAGGAACTTCGTAGATATGGAGGTAGTCCAAGAAGTGTGAATTCGAAATGTACAGTCCTTTCTACGTAACCAGTAGTTAGGAAACGCGTCAGTTTGTTTGACGACGGGATTATGCGGGACGAACGAACGTATTACGTGTAATTTTTTTTCTAATTTTGCTAGAAATTTTCGCTCGAACAGATAATATAATGACCATCATTTCTACATGAATTCTACCGATTATGTACAAAAATTGAGTATAGGCAAGTCGACTCCGCCCGTCACTTCGAAGTATCCGTCATAAAATAATATGGTCGCAAATTAGTGACCAAATTCACGAAAAAGACTCGTTCGATACTTCCATCAGTGGAAAATGGCTGATTCAAGTTCAGTTTTTCCAACTGATATTGAGAAAGCAGCTTGAAATGCATTATTCTTTTCGTCCAACCACATATTCAATAACGTAACTGGTGCTGTAGTGAATAATATTTCATCACCAGTTAAACCAGTAATGTTATATTCCACTTTACACCACAGGTTATACGAAAAGTGAGAACTTTCAATATTTCCGTAGTTTTGAAAAGTTCCACATCACATGTCAAATTAAATAAAAAAGAATTTCGAGCCAAACTCAATATTTCCAAGGGATATCCTGAAACAGGTTGATTTTCATTCTCAATTTCCACATTTATAATAGACAATTTCTCGAATGGAACATCCTATCAACTATTGAATTCTCGAAATCTTCATGGAAAGCTGAATTCAGGGTGTTCCATTAAAAAAAAAACACAAAGCTAATAACCTACCCGAAAAAACGAATGACACTGTATATAAAACAACTACACAAAATAAAAGTTTGGGTGGTTTCCAACAACTTTTTCATTTAACATTCCTCGATATTCCTATAAAAACAACATAATGACCTCTTTATACTGAACTTTCCTCAAATAAAGTACCATTCCTATTATTTCACATTCTTGGGGGAATTTAAGACTAAGAAATTTTCTTGAAATGATGACTTAATAAAAACAAATTATCATAGGGATTTCCTTTCGTGCGCTTCAAGCGTTAAAAAATATGTTCCATCAATAACTAATCCAAGTGCTTCGTAATTTTTTTTATTTTATAAGGATGCTTGCCAAAAATTCGACGGATGACGTCACAATGTGTCCATGATGATTGCAGACAAAAAGGTTCCTGCATGATCCGCCATTTTGAAAACAAATGTCATTTGAAAGGTATTTTTTCGCTCTATCGACTTACGTAAAATTATTCATACAGAGTGCCATTTGAATTTCAGTAAAATTTTGGGGCAAATCCTCTGTACTTGTACAGTGTGCAACATATGGAAATTTTTTTGATGAATTGCACAACCAAAATACAGATAGTGCCAAAGGTGCCAAGTCAAACAGCATACAGGGTAGGTCAAAAAATATAGAAAATGCTCAAGAGTAAAGTACCCTTATTTCAGAAAATTCAGCAAACTGTTATGGAAAAAAGTTCTTTACAATTGAAAGTTTTTCCTTAATGCCAAAACATGGCCTCCTGAGACATATTTTAGTGTTTCGATTTGTTCCATCAATAAGTTCCCAATTTGTATTTTTTTTTATATTCACCCTAAACACTTTCATAATTTGATCATAACAAAATCAGTTGATCATACTTTTGTTCAAATTAATGCACTTTTGTGCAATCAACTTGGATTTTATTTTTTTAGGGAATCACAAACTTGATGTTTGTTGCAACGATATACAGCTTAATTTTGAGATTTCGCAAACCATATTTTCAACAAGGTGAAACATCATTAGATAAGGAGTATGTCACCAAACTGCCTCAATATTTACTGTCAACCCTCATTAGTTCTGTTCCTTGGGTGTCCGTGATTTTTCAAAAGATATCATGGTTGTCGATCAATTTGTTCAGCTTTTTCATAAACATTTCAAATACAAAATGTTCACATTAAATGAAGGTTTTTGAATATGCATATTATCATTAATGATGTTTTACCTTGTTGAAAATAGGGTTCGCAAAATTTCAAAGTTGAGCTGAATATCGTTGCAACAAACATGAAGTTTGTGATTTCCTAAAAAACTTGAAATCCAAGTTGAATGCAAAAATATGCTTGAATTTGAAAAAAAAAATGGGAATTTATTAACGAAAGGATTTGAAGAACTGGAGAATGTCTTAGGAAGCCATGTTTTGGTATTTAAGTATGAATTTTAATTGTGAACAACTTTTCTCAATAACATTCTGCTGAATTTTTTGAAATACGGGTACTTTATTCCTGAGCACTTTTTATATCTTTCTACCTACCCTGTATGCTGTTTGACTTGCAACTATTCTGAGTGCACCTGAAATGATGATCGAACATGCACCAACTCTTGGCACTATCTGTATTTTGGTTGTGCAATTCATTAAGAAGATTCCCATATGTTGCACACTTGAATGACCACACTGTATATTTAAATTATGCTCATATTATTATTTTGTAGAAGCGAGGAGGGAAAATCCCAAATAATCAAGTAAAATGTATGTAACACCTCCTAGATCAACCAACAGGCGGTATTTCGAGCCGTCATTGCTTGAGATTTGACATTTCATGGAAGATGAATGAAGTCATTATGATATCCGAAACGCAAATGAAATTGATCACATACAAAGTACCTCATTGATCACATACAAAGTACCCCATTGACGAATGGAACATTTTGGTATATAAACGAATTGGGTCAAATCAACTTATTTTGACCTCTACTTCAAGTAGAGCAATTTTGAGACACCCTGTATATAATCTATAACTGAAGTCATGTGAGGGATTTGAGCACAATTGACAATAAGAAATCACTAGATTCGAGAACTCTTGGGAAGTAGGTTTCCCGAAACGAAATAGCGATATACAAATGCTACAAGTTCTTTATTTATATTATCTACTATTTAATTGGAGAATCAAATTGAAAGGTATACACTCTGATCCGAATCTCAGACCATTGGACTATAGAAAAGTTCGAAAGTTTGAGGTTTTTCTCCAATATTTATATGTTCAGAAATGGACATACAATGATTCCATTTCTGCCTTATAGTATCTCCGAGGATAGATTCACCTATTATACATAGAAAACATCGTTATATTCACATGTCTGATGTTTTGTTATATGATTTTTCAACAAAAAGAATGATATATACTTCTTTATCTAGATACAATCAAATAATCATGTCAATATCTTCCTGATTCGGATCAAACAGATTATCAAACACAAATACTACAATGTACGAACCTTTCTCAGCCCTCTAGAATTCTTCATAAAACAGTTTGAATCAGATTTGAGTAGGTATAGCAAGGAATTTCTATCGATTCAACTTGGCAACAATGCGCTACCGCTTGTTCCGAGTCTCCACGCGTCTCACACATTCTGGTATATTGACGGTCTGTCGATGTACGGTTCTGATGTTTTACGGGTCTGTCAATGTACGGTTTTGCCATTTTACGGTTCTGCTATTTCACGGGTCTTAATCCAAAAAATTCTGAAAATTTACGGGTTTGGTAGCTGCACGATTCTGCCATTGTACGAGTCTGTCATTTTACGATTCTGCTGTTTTACGGGTCTGTCGTTTTACGGTTTTGATGAATTATGGATCGGAAATTCCGGTAGTCTGATGGATTATGGGTCTGTCGATGTACGGTTCTTGCATTTTACGGATCTAGAGTATTGGCAGTCTGTGCTTTCACGAGTCTGTCATTGTACGGATCTTTCATTTTACGGGTATCAAAAATCGACAGTCTGTCTTTTTACGGGTATGAACTTTTCGCATTCTGCCATTTTCAGATTCTGTACATCACAATTCTGCCAGTTTGCTGGTCGGGAATGTTCATTCTGATGAAATGGTGGTCTACAGAGTACGGGTCGCTGAATTACAGTCTGTGCTTTTACGGTTCTATGACTTTACGATTATATATTTTTATGATTCTGACGACATGAAGAGTATTTTATTTACTGGTTTGGCAAAGTACACTTCTGAATATATGGCAGTCTTTCGATATACTATTGTGATTTATGCATTCTGACATAATGCAGTCTGTCGAAGTACGGTTCGACAAATTACGGGTTGTACATATTGCAGTCGCTGAAATATGGTTCTGATCATTTGCTATTCTGATTTCTTACTATTCTAGTCAAATAAATTCCTACTAATCGACAGTCTGTGTCGATACGTTCTGATGATGTATATGGACCCGGTTTGCACATATGAAAAATAACCATCATTTCGAATGAAGATTTTGATCAAATCAATGACAAAATAAATCAGTAAAATGTAGGAAATAGTTTTCAATATACCACATTTATTTTCTTGATTAATTTGATTTTTCTTGGTGTGATAGCTGAAAGTTGCTTTTCTGTCTGCACTTGAGAACCAGACTTCTGCACAAGTGTCTGTGTTCCTGTGTCCACCATATCTGGTTCTGTTTGGGTACCAATGCTTCTTGCTCTTGTGTTCATCCCATCTTCAGAGCTATCATCTATTTCCATAAAATGACCTACTTCTATATTTTCATCACTGAAATATGAATGCTCCTCATGTATGGAGCCTGATAAAGATACCTATAAGATCAAGTGTAAGTATGTAAAATACAATAAAATCAGGACCATTTTACCACCAAGGTTAGTGTAGGAACAGCATTTTCTTTCAGTTTGTGCTTTTCCATCAAATGATCCTCAAAATGTAGACTGCAAATTCTCATGCTTCCATACAATTTCATAGAATCAGTAGCCCTGACTGCCCTGATCAATTCATCATTGCACGCCAGTTGCCATGAATTCATTCTCACTTCTTGGGTCCTAGGATTAGGGAACCTAAAAAATCTCAATGGTGTATGTTGATGAATATCTAAGTACTTTTGCAGTCTTTGACTACACATTTTAGTCCTCCAGGTCTCCCCATTGCCAAGTTTATCTACAAAAATATATCATTTCTACCTCAGCAACCCTAGACACTAGAAAAAATCAAATATACCCACACTTATACCACAATATTTTGAGGTTATGTAAAATGATAACAAGAAACGAAAAATGATGATGATTCCACTGAAACTCAGCAGAAAAACACAAGTCTTTAAAAATAATAATCGCTTTTGTGCAGATTGAATCGACTTTTGTCACTGTTGAAAAATTTGCCAAATCTCTGAGAAGAAATTAGTTGACAAACAGTAAACAGACAGCTGACATCTGATCGTAGTAAAAATTCAAGGTCATTTGTCAGTTCTCCCGCGCATTTGAAGTGGAGCTTCTTGGTGACTAACCTACTATTCTTTGGTTATACACCTGAAGACTCACGTCATCTAGACATAGCAGGCTGGAACTATCCCAATGCTCCGATCCTCAACGCCGATGGTACGTTTAGTATGAACATTCCAATGAAACATTTGTTTTCCATCTTCAATGATCATCAAGTGGCAACGTGGGGCAAGCAGTCAATCCGTTTAGTGAGAGCTCGCAATGATGCCAATAGTGTGAAGGTTGTCGTGAGAGCGAATACTGCTTTGCAAGGATCTCCTCAGACTCAGAGTATTGTTAAAATAACGATAGAAAGCATCAATTTGAAAGTGCCACATCTCACACCCAACGATGACATAAGGTTGCAGTTGTTGACACGTATCAAAGCAGATGAGTCTATGATGATACCGTGCCGCCGATGGAAATTGCACGAGCTACCAGCACTCACACAAGGATCTACCATAGAAATCTGGTTCGTCAAGACATGTTCTGCATTGGACAGTCCAAGATATGTTATAGTATTTTTCCAAACGAAAAAAGCCGATAATTTGCATGAAGACGTCACCTTGTTCGATAATGCCAACATCAAATCCATACGATTGGCTCTGAATAGCGACTATTATCCGCAAGAAAGAATGCTATTGGACTTTTCCAAAGACCAATATGCCGACGCCCACTTCAACTATACAGAGTTCAACAAGAGCTACCATAACTGTCAAGGAAATCGCTCTCTAGTAAACTTTGCCGAATTCAAATCCCGACCAATGTTTGTTATCGATTGCTCGAGGCGCTATCTGGGTCTAAAGTCGTCTACAGTTGACATAAAGTTGGACATTGAAGCGACTACAGGCTTCCCTCCCGACACCAAAGCCTATTGCATCATCATTCACGATCAAATCATGAAACATCTCCCACTCAGCGAAATTGTTCGAAATATTGCCTAGGTGGGTGTTGCTGCATCAGTCAGACGTCAGTTTGCTTCGAAGAGTCATGGAGATCGCACTGGTTGACATTCAAGGGTTCATGGTTGATGGTGAATTCATTCCAAAGGAAATGACCATTCGCATTGGCAAAAAGACGATTCATTTTCTATTCAAGCCATCTGTAGAATTTTCGAGTTTAAGCAGGAAAGATAAAAAGATGGCAAATCATGTGGAGCGTTACGTTCATGGTTTAAAATATTCCAGTAGTTATGTGGATTCAAATGAGTTGGATCAAATACTACGAGATAACCTGCAGCAGACAAACATCATCTACGTAAGAGGCCATCAAAATATTCAGTTTTTGCAGCGAAAATATGCAGAGTTGGAGATGACCAATCACATTGTTAATTTGGGAGATTTTGACAATTCTTGGTGGCAGCCAATAACGTTCCTACAATCCATTCCACCTTGCATGAATCATTTCCGCGAAGGAAGGTTCCAGTGCAGTCTCCACAATGTCGATACTTTATATAATTGGTTATGTAATTTATTGCCAAAATAAATAACTTTATAATAATTTCAGAGTTTTTATTCATCACATCCCTTATTTCTCAGTATAATGAAAATAACATGTGAGATTGAAATGAGTGAACATATTAGTGTACAACAAAGTGTCAAAATTGCAATGATATTGACAGAATCTTGATCATCATCTAATTTTGCGGGTGATTTCTTCAATGTAAATGTCTGCCAGTCCCCAGTTTCGCCGTCACTGCCATCAGAAAACGATAATTTCAATTTGTAGTTGATGGTGGTCCCATTGACTCGAGGCATGTCGATTGAATATACAAGTAGTTTGTTATCATTGACATGCATTCTTTTCATCATCTTCCAATCACATTGTTGTGTACGATTCATATCGAAAGATATGCCTGCATTCCTCGTATCATATGGTATGTTTGTGTAGAATACGTTGTTGCTCAGAGCTGTCGATAGAATGAAGCTTGCTTTCAGTATCGCCATCTAGTAGCTGTGTTGGATTCTCCTCGATGTAGGAAACGTTGCAACTGAACGTCTTGGTTCTGTGAACACCTTGTCCCAAGTACTCAATTGCTCGAAATCTTTGAACAAACAAACTTTCTGCTCATACAATTGGATGTCTGCACTGAGCTTTCTAACTTTCAACCCAAATTCTTCTAGTGCACGTCTGTATTCGTCAGAAGACATGATACAACTGTTTTTCACATCCATACTTCCAACCCACATCTTATTACATCTCTTTCCCTCTCTCTCTCCCTCTCTCCCTCTCCCTTTCTCTCTTCTTTTCTTTTTTCGTCTCTCTCTCTCTCTTTCTTGTACACATCATCCAGACAAGGGTGTGGGAAAAGAATACACAGAAAAGTCTAATAATTGTAAAAGTGTATAATAGTATAAATGTAAAAAGGGATAATAAAAATGAAAAAAATGGTTATACAATAAAATATGATTATTAGGAATAATTAGATAATACTGAAATAATTGATAATATACATATATACAACATGAATTATTGGATGAATAAAATGAGTTACATTTTTTCATGGGAAAATAAGTCATCAATACAACAGCGTTGGTTTGAAAATTTAGATGCAAAAATACTAAAGAGAAAATCAATCCGTCAAACTGTAGTGACCCCACGGAAGTGTGTCAAATGAATCGTGAATCAGTTTCCGCTTATCATCTTTGGGACTCAGACCAATTTTTGTTTGTTCGATGGAAAAAACATCGTGAGCGTAGAAACGAATCGTTTTCTGGGCTACGGTCTTTTCTTCCCAAGCCGTCAGACAATCCACATAGTCATCAAAAGTCAACTTATTTTTGACAACACATTTCTTGACACTCTTGGATTTTTTAGTAAAACCGAAATTTCCCAATTCCCTATCTAGTCGTTCTTTACTGAATCATTTTCTTTCCAATCGCTTTCTCTCTTTTTCAATATCCTCATCCGTTATATCCAATTTATAACTGTACATCTTGGACCGTAGTCCAGCAAAATGCGTAATAATCTTACCGTTTGCCTCATCCTTTAATAGGCCCAAGACTTTTTTATTTACTCGAGGTATACCATAAATATTGTCTGGAGCATAGTCAGACGTGTCAAATCTCTCGATATTTGCATCAATCACCTCACTATATGCATCGTCACATACAATTTCGTAGATGAAGCTGTCCGTATCGGTATACATGAGTTTCACGTCAGCTCCAAGCTTTGGCAAGTCGAGGATACACATGCCAATGTAGAGAGGTTTATTGAAAACCAGCTCTGCTTTTTTCAACTCTACTGCCACCAAATTGTCATCGAAAACTGTTCGTTGTTGGAACCGAGGACTTGAAATTAAATTTTTGATGCCATAGCGGCCTTCATACATTCTGACTAACTTAACTGTTCTATGATTACTAATATTCTCCATCGTCTTCCCAAACACCGCATTATTGGCCAATTTCCTTAAATCTTTTTCAAAATCGTTTGTGGCTAGAGTCCTCAATCGGGTATTCAACTCGATGTAGGGCTTTAGCCACGTAGATTGTTTGAACTTTAATACTTCATGAATCTTGGTCAATTTCAGACCGTGTTCTAATGCCTGCTTCAAATTTCGATAATGTAAAGTATATGACTTTTTATCGTACAGCGTGGTCATTAATTTGGATAATTTTGAATTTGGTGGTGTGCGGTGTTCGGGACAAAATGGTAGGTCCTTGTGTAGGTCATGCAACCCCTCAGGATACTCCAAATCAACTTGGAGAATATAGCCTTCTGGACTGTTGTCAGGAATTTGGGTTACATCAATGTCAACATTTTCTACCCATGTAATGCCCCCATAAGGGAGGGGTTCACTCATTGCTTTTCCATAAAGGTTATTCACGTCAAGATAGAGAAGGTACTTTGACGGTTTTTTTGGATCGTAATTTTTCTGATATTTATTATTTGCTTCACTATACCTATTGCAGCAAACCGATACTCCTCCTCTTATCGCCTGCTCCACAAACATCACCATGTCGATATCATTGATGATTTGCAGCTTGCACCCAGTATACTTGAGCATGCAGTCCCAAGTATAGCCGGGCATGGTGTAATACCAAGCAGGATCGAGGCCATAGGTCTTGAGGGATGACGCACGGAAATTTTTCATGACGTCAGCAAGAAGAAGAATATCGGTCCGCATATATAGGTCGCTATATTCTCCCAGCGATTTCAGCTCGAAAGATTTCCAAACTTTTCGCGCGTGCGCGTAATCGTCGTCCGAAATATTTGTATCGTTCAATTTGTTATAGAAATTTTGAATACTTGGCAACTCGGATTCATCCAATCTTTCCACATTATCGACATAGTCATATGGGAATACTCTTTTTCGTGTCAACAATGCAAATTTCATCTCATTTACGTCACTGAATTCCTTCTTCAGAATTTTCAAATCATCGACTTTCAACGTTGACACTAAAGCATCGAGACTGGTTCCCAAAAAGCGGAATGAGTCGATGAATCGGAATTTTATGCTTGTTTCATCATCATGTTGTGTAAAGAAAATGTATTTTCCGCGATTAACCGGGAGTACGCTCACACGTCCCCGCTTGGAAATGTCTCTGATTGAAAAATGCGAATCATATCCTGAGAAGTTGTGGAACGTAATGGGAACAACGAACAGTTTCCTAAAGTTGAGATTACAGGGAGCCTGGTGCGCGAAGCCTCTGAATGCGCCAGTAAAATGGTCGTGGTCACGTACGATAACGTCTTTTGCCTTGAATTTCTCTTCGCAAATGTGGCAGATGGTTGCGCCACAGGTACTAGCTGGTTTGACTACCATTGGAACGATATTTTTCAATCAGGATTCGACAAATTTGGCAATTTTAGACATTTCGCAGGCAAACCAGTCCATGCAATCTCCACCCCTATGACTACGATAAAATGACAGCGAGTCATCGAAAGAACATT